TCGCTTATTTGCGAGTGCAGTTTTGATTCTGAATCGGTGAAACACTTTTTCTTGTATTTCCCGAAGTATGCCGCTCAACGTGAGGTCCTCCTTACCTCTACTGCTAATATTCTAGGTGAAACATGGTCATCCGGCGGTGATGCTGGGAAACTAAATTTTTTATTGTACGGTGATGAGTCTGTAAATTACGACGTCAGCTGTGCCTTTTTTCGCGAAGTACAAAGTTTTATAATTAACACTAATCACTTCTCTGAGGCCATTGTTTGATTGTTTAATTCATAAATTCCTAGCTTAGTAAGTTTAACTCGTTGTATTGCAACTTGTGTGTGTTGGTTATGAGTTTGTTCCTGTGTGAGCCTGAATAAATTGATTTTATATTTGTAACACTGTAATCCCCCTCGTTATGCCTTGGCGCTTTTGGGGAAAACAATGATAAATATGTTTAAATAATAATAAAAGAAATTAATAGCCTCTATTTGCAAAAAATGTCTAAAAAAGACCATATTTATCGTGCTTCTACCTTTTTCACAGGTTTGTCCATAATATCCGTCGGCACATTTGCAGCTGTAAGAGTCATCTCCAGTTACTGTGCAGACTCCCCCATTTTGGCAAGGGCTGTTTGTGCACGGGTTTACTAGGGTTCATAACAAAAACTTTGCTTTAGGTGGCCTCGGTAACCTATTTCTGAAGGGTTAGCGTTGAATGCTATTTTGCATCTTACAGGCGGTCAATAAAAGTAATAATGGTTTCAAAAACTTATTTATTGAATTTAAAATTGCCATATTTGTAATATTTATTTCTTACCGCAGTTAGCCCATTGTCCTTTGTAAACTTCGTCAAATGAACACCACAATCTGTGATGAGCTACCTTGGTACAAGATTGGTAAGTTTTTCCTCCATACTCAAAAGGAAAAACACAGCAACGGCCTTGAGGATCGTCCGTCTTTTTGCCAGGTGGACAAGGAAGCCCTGTGCAAGAATCATAAGACTGTGTTACGTTCCGCGAAAGAGAATCTACAAATGCATAAATCGATTATCCTACGATAGTTGAAGCACTGACTTGCGTTTTCTGCAGTTGTCTCCTTCAAACTCATCAGCGCATATGCATTAGAATGAATCAGAACCAAGGCAGTGTATTTTATGCTCTCTGAGCATATAATCTTGAGCTTGAAAACATGCATTAAGTACCTACCAAAAAAAGTATCCACACTCAAAACGAGTAGTGTGAAGATATATGTCGGCGATGACTGCATATTTTCTTGTTGTAGGCGCTGAAAGGGAATAAAATTGCGTCAGCTTTTTTTTTTTATTTTCACATAAACAGCTGAACTCCCAGTTGATAATTACATCGTTATTTTGTTAGTAAAGTGAAACTATTTGCAGATTTTGTGGTCTGATGGAACAATCCTGCTACCATGTATCAGCAGATAATGTTTGCCTTTAGACAGCAAATTACCGGAGTAGCAGCGTATCCCGTTTAAATCACGAATAAATATGAGCAGAGCTCAAGCGCACAGAACAGGAGCCGCATGTGAAAGAAAACATGGTGCCATACGAACTCAGTTAAAGACTGATTTGGTTGATGGGAAGCATTCAAGTGTGGAGTTGTTCATTTGTGAGAGTTTCGCTAAAGCATGAGGGTTATAGAGTTTTGACAACAAATGTGTAATCTTCCAAGATCAGTTAGCCAGCATGCCCACTTATGCCTACCAATAGCGAATATTTAAGCATTTTTAAAAGCATTTAAGAGAGTTCAATTAGAAGTCAGTAAGAAATAGAAGAGTGAGAAGTGGTGAGTGGGAAAGAGGAGGAAGGGAACGGAGTTAGGGAGACGACCAGAGTTAACCAGATTGAAGTGAGTTTGTTGTGGGTGTTACTAAGTTCGTTTTATAGAAAAGATATGTAAGAAGACTGAAAAAAGACAGGTCGAGAGTTCTTGGTGCCTTTAGTAAAAGCGTACTTAAAATACTTTTACCATCTATAAGTACAACTTGTACAATACTGTTGTCGTTACTTTTAATGTATCTTCTATTCTCCCGATAGGTTTTTGCAATGCGTTCAATTGATACTGTTTATCACGGAAGAACATTTTCCATAAGATGCTTTAAAATCGTTTGGTTGATAACCTTTGATAATTCAGTCTCACTCTATCTTAGTTTTTTTAGTTTTAGTGGGACATTGAATGAAACTCACCTACCTTTCTTTGCTTACCAGACTGTTACTAGCGGTATTACTAGAATGAAAGCCAGGTACTGTTTTGCCCAACATGGTGTAAAATATTTGCATTACAAAAATTTAATAATTACAGTTGATTTTGTCATACCACATGGGTCTGTTTGTTCGTGCAAGAATATGTTTCTTCAATTTCAGTGTAATCACAAATAAATGTTATAGTTACGGTAATGTTGCTCACGGAATGTTTTCGTTTTACAATTTGGCGAATAAAAATGCACATTTAGGATGCTTATCATTAGTCGGTACTAAGGTCTTTAGAAAATTGATTTAAACAAAACGAATGGGACTTATTAAGGATTTCGTATCAATTATTATAGAATCATTTCATCAGATCATTGGATTTAGCCCAGAAACTGACTAAGCTAGCAGGAAAGTTTAAATAGACAAAACCTTTATATGAAAGTGCCGGTCTAATTTTATAACAATTCAAATAAATTTCAGAAGT